CAAATGTTCGTGTCGTCGGCAAATTGTACACATTTGGCTAATGATGAGACGTTACAAAGGTCATTGATGTAGACTAGAAATAAAAATGGACCCAGTATAGATCCTTGAGGAATTCCATTCTGGACATGAGTAAATTAAAATAAATTAAATAACGTTAAGTACCTGTTCACTTTAACCAAACAAGAAATCAACAAAGTAGAGTAGAGGCACTGTATTTATATTTGAGCATCTAGGCACATACACAATATATCAATTTGAACACCGATGATGGTATAGGAATACTGGAAAAAGCTTTTTTGTTCTATCATGCATAAAATAAACAAAAATTTTGGTTTGGAACTAAAGAGACTTGAAAATGATTTTTGATCAACCGTAAGAAAAATCGAAAAGTTAAATTGGAAGTTCACTAACGCTGTGATTTTCATCAATAATTGCATTTCTGACATTTTTAAACCAATATATATATATATATATATATATATATATATATATATATATATATATATATATATATGTGTGTGTGTGTGTGTGTGTGTGTGTGTGTGTGTGTGTGTGTGTGTGTGTGTGTGTGTGTGTGTGTGTGTGTATTTATATTCTAAGCATATATATGTATATAAATAGAATAAATTCTAAGTATATATTAGAAATATTTGCTTTATACATTTTTTACTTGTTTTTGGAAATATTTTTTCATTCATTTTTTACTATTTTTAAAATTTATTTTCATTTTTTTTGTTTTTTTTTAAATTCTAAGTACCTATATGACTAATTTAAATAACTTCCATAAATAACATGCACTGTATTCTAAACATGATTCATATGCAAAATACGATTCTTTATTCTATATTTTGGTATAGAAATATATTTGCTGTAGATAAGGTTGTACTAATATATATTAAGTGAAATTAAATTGAATTAAAAAATTAAAAATTTGTTGAATTAAAAAAATAGCAGTGGCAATATTGACAGCATAGGTACTACTGACGTTATCTGTGGGTAACCATCTTTTGATGTCCATCCCTTGGTTGTATTTTATACAATTCTTATTAAGGTGTTGATTCAAACAAAACATTAAGCTCGGAAAAGATACAAAATTTATATGTGAATGGTATTGCCTTACTTTTATAGGTACCTACATGACATTGAATGAATCGTTATTACATGTTTAAGGTAATTATAAGTTTATGACATATGACACGCTAGCACAATTTGGCATTCCTATCACCAACAGTTAGTTAGTTACCTAACAAAGCTATATTAGGATATTATTTTCTGAATTACGCCAAAGATCGGGCGTTTTAACTTTTTTTAATTTTTTAAGACGCGATGATTTATTTTATATTATATATGCAAAGATAGTCCCGAACGTGTTTAGATGCTGTGCGTATGCGTCTAAACGTTTGACGAAAGGGGATCGCAGAAAAGGAAGAATATAAAACTTTATTTCATTAAATTAATTTGTGGTAACTGACGTAAATTTTATAATGATGAAATCTAAGCATTGTTTAGCTGGCCGTTTGTTATTAGAATTTTATTCTGCTTCACAATCTAGTATGTACTTATAATTTTTACATCACCTATAGAAATATTTCCATAAATTTTGTAATGACACTGCCATTCACAAGTCATTTTTGTTAGATGTTTCTATTTATGCTAAAAAATTATCAACAAAAAAGTTTTCAAGAAAAAGAGGCCACTTCAAGAATCGTCTAAAGAACCATCCGCTCAAGTACCTTAAACTGTGGCGAAAAATGAGGAAAGTTCTTCCGACCGACGCCAACTCGTAAGAGAGGCTAATAAAATGCAATATCTAAACAGTTTGTTTATACCTAACTGCTTAAAGTAGACTATGGAATTAAATAAACAGAGATTGGACTAGAGTTCGCCGGAAAGAGTTTGTGTCATTCATTATGCTCTTGTTTAGCCTTTGCCGGTAATTCCATAACAGCAATTTATTTATGAGTTGTTCCCTGCACAAGATTCTCTGCACAATTTATATTATGTGCGAGGTTAACGCTGCCTCTGCTTACGTTAAAACTATCAATTGAAAAAATAGTCATATAATTCTTCGACATCTACAATGGCAGGCACTTTAACTATTACACAAAGGCGCCGTCAGTGAAACTAACTGAATAAGTTATCATCAATAATAAACACATTTCTCATATGGAATGAATGATTGTTTATTTAAATACGTTATCTATTTTATAATCACAAATGTTAACAGAAAATAGATGTTCCATTCTACCATTCTAAAATAAAACCAATAAAATTATGTAAGTCTAATGAAACACATTTAAATCAGATACACGTTATAATACTGTTTTCGTAATAAAATCTTCTAAATCAAATAAAAAATGAGGTATGATTTTAAGTTGAATTCAAGACACATGCAATTCTCCAATTTAGCAATTTAATAATAAATTCATTTAAATTAATATTAAAAAGCATAGAAATAAAAAATCTTTAAAATGGGTGCTTCGTGTAAAAATATTCAACGCAAAATTTATCCATTTAAATAGTATAACAATATTCATCAAGTAAAACAGCAATCCCAGTGTATATATTTTCAAAAGAATGTAAAACTGGTATCTACATTGAAACGTCTGCACAATACAATACACCCTTTGGATATAAAAAAAAATAATTAATCAATCAATCAAACAACTACCCTACTCTAGTTCTTCATTCGCATGAGAATATTTTAAATAATTTACCTAAGTTGTCAAAATATAAACCAAAACATTAAAGGACTAGGATAAATGTAGAGGCTGGCATCACAAAATTACATGAAAAAATTTAATAAGGTTTTAAAACGGCTATGAAAGAGAAAGATGCAAGTCAGTGTCAGCAATGCTTAATGAAAATGATAGGTGTACAATGAATGAAATGATTTGATATGTAAATGTATTTATTCGTCATGACATTTATATAAAAACTGGTTGAAGGATAAATAAAATAATCATGACAAACACGATTCGGATGAGAAATTGTAACAATACTTTAATGTTTAAATTGCGTTTTAAACTAAAGTGTTGGAATAAATATCTTGAACATAAATATGAAAAAAAGACAAATATATCACAAAATGGCAAAATGAAATATTAAAAATAAATATGAAATATCATACATTTTGAATATAAAAAAAGTAGTTTAGAGGTCGCTGAGGTCAATTAAGTCTCCTACAGGAACGTGCTCGTCAGTAAGGACAGATACTGGCGATGTTGGCAATGTTTGTTGTGATTCTGGTTGCTGTTGAACTTGGTTGCTACTGCATCGTAGCTGTCTGTTTTCCTCTTGTAAGAGGTGAATTGTTGACAGCAGATTTGTGATCTCCAAACGAAGGTTTTCTACTGTCTCGTTTGTTGTAATGATGAGGTGCTCTTTGGCAAGATCCTTCATATAATTTGTGCAATAAATTATCACTTGTTAATCATTCATAGCGTTAATCAAATTTTGAATTTAATATATATAAATACTAACTAAGGCTTGAGATATTTTTTCACTAATCTCACATTGCACCGGACTGTTGAAAAATTAAAGTATTGATTAATTCGGCTCTATAAAAAGTGTTATTAAAAATAAAATATAATATAAAATATGGACTGTAAAAAACAACATAATAAGTAGACAAAACATCTTTGTTGCTAACGTTTCAACATCGACAAGAAGCTCATTTTGGTTGACATTTTGATTGTTCCGGTCATTAGAAATATCACTGCATATTAAAGGAGTGGCATAATCAATATAATGTGGATTGTTGAGTTCATTTGAAGCATTGCTGCATAACAAAGGATTGAGGTATTCAATGTTTTGATTGATACAGTCATTTAAAATATCACTAGATGTCGAAGGCATGTCAATAATCGAAGGATTAACAACATTCACCATTTGGCATTCAGAATTTATAACAGGTAATGTGAAGCTATCATTTGGAATGACAACATTGTTAACTAGGCTTGTCCCAAGAATATTTTCATTTTGAATCACATTGTTTTGTAGCGTGATGTCATTAATTTGTACTTGTATGGCATTATTCAAAACTTGCACGCTACTACAATTCAAACTGAAACTATTATATGGTAAATGCGTATCATCATTCAAGATAGGATGTAAAAGTTTGTAAGAGGGATTTGGAAAGTTTAGACCACTGTTTGAATGATCAACTAAATCTTTTCTTGTTTCAATAGGAGCCACGGTGATGATTTTTGCTTCATTTAAATTTTGAGATTGAAGTGGAGGTGTGCATGAGACCTGTTGACAATTTAATGAGGTAGAAAGAATTGTCTTATTAATGTTAATGTTAGATGCAGAAGATTTAGATGATCCATTAGTGTTAATCCATTCAGTAGTGTTTTCAAAAAGACCTTCGCTCAGGTTAGCAACAGAGTAACTAGCATGAAAAGAATCATTGTCTGCAAAATCAAAACATTTCCATCTACCTCTAGCTGCTTTAAATTTAAAGATTTTAAATCTTGACTTGCACTTGGTTTGAACGTCGTTGGTAGAAGCAGAAGAGATCATATGATGATCGTTTTTGTTTTTGCCTGGTACAATCATGCTACAATTAAAACCATTCGAGTCCTTGTCTTCTTCAAAATCCGTGTAACTGGAGCTCACGTTATCATCCCCACTTTCGTCGTCAGAGTGCGATTGAAAAGCAACATTTGTTATTTCAAAACAACTTTTGCGATTTTTGTTTAAAGTCGGGTGCTGAATAACTTTAGCAACGCCTGCTGACATCGTTCCAGTATTACGGTTGTTAACGAATGTTACTGAATTTGGCATTAACAAATGAAATTTAAAATAAAATTAACGACAATTTCCAGCAATTTAAATTCTCACAACTCAGAAGTACGATGTTCAACAAATTGAAGACGGTCTAAAAGTAAACTGACCAAACTCGAAGAAATTATGAAGAGCACGCTTAATTATCGAAATTTATACGCGTCGTAAATAAGCTTTTCCAGTTTTGACATTAAGCCAAACAATGGAGTTGCTCTATTTAGGACTCATGAATATTAATAAGCATATAGCTTACATGAAACTTGCGCGTTACATTGTTGCATAACGTGGAACAGAGAAATTATATTTGTTCATCCAAAGTTAATGTATGCCTGGTATTTTAACGGTGGGTTGAATGTTTTCCACATTCCAGCATTTAAAACTGTATATTTTGGCTTACAAGAGTTAAATCATTCGTAATCAAATAAACAGGATGCAAAAAAAGTACTGTAGTGCCTTAGTGATTACCGTACTCATTCGTCCTTAGCCTGACCAATACTACCTATTTATTCTATATATATATATATATATATATATATATATATATATATATATATATATATATATATATATGTGAATACTATTACTTCTAAGGCGTACAGTATTTATATTTTTTCTTTCGGTATTTTTATCAGTTCTAATAAACAGTTTCACATTTTGCCATTTGTTTTTTTATCTACTTGCAACAAAATTAATCCACTACTAAAATGTGGAAAATGTCATCGCACGAAAGTTTATTTCAATAAATTCAATCTTCACGGCAGTCACGTCATCCTACCAAGGATTTTAGCCATTATTTAAATTTCTAATTTTGGACATTAAAAAAACCATGCAAGTGGCGCGAGCGCGAGCGTATGCGCCACTTGTACGGTTAAATTAAATTATAACGATTAAATTTTGAACTCCATCTTTAGAATTTGTTCTACAAAATTTTAATTTTGACATCCATTTAGTTTGTGAAAGGTACTAAAACATTTGATGCATCGATTAGAAGATAATATTTTTGAACTCAATGGAAAAGATTTTTTTTCTTTATACGTATTGTCATAAATATTAAATAAAAGTTTCGTTTACTGTATATTTATGGTAATTGTTCAACACTTATTTCGATTAATTTGTTGAATATAATTTTTAAACAAAAACATAGTATGTCGCATACCCAACCTAAAAAACCTAATAACGCAGTTTAAAAAATGGATAAATAATATCGTGATCAAATAATGTTAGGTCATTTCTAACCAAAACCACCATCGTTACATTATTACAGGAATTCGCGTCCTACTTTAAATTAACATTAATCTATTCAACAATCAACTATTAAAAAAAATAACAGGACCAAATAAAGCACACACACACGCAAACACACACACACACATATATATATATATAAACTTATCTAGAAAATAACGATTCTTCAGGTTATAGTTCGATTATCCACTATAATTTATTTACAAACATTAAAATATAAATAATTACGCGTTGCGATAAAATATTATTAATTCTTAAAATAACAACAATTAATAACAGCAACAACATTAACTATAAGAACAATAGTAAATAACAACAGTAGAACTACAATAGTCAATATCTAATGTCTAGGAAAAATGTTTGTGTGAGTGAACATGGTGAACATGCTCACCTGCATGCACACTAACACACCAACACATGGCATCCGTATAAGAACTTAAGACAAACAACTAGAGCGAGTTTAACTAACGTTGATAAATATGATAAAATGGTGACATTTCTCTACGCATCTGGAATGGCTAAGTGCAAATTTTGAAACATTAATAACATTTTTTAAATAATAATAAGCGAACCTAATTATAACGACATAAAACGATAATGGAACCTAATCTTGCCTCGTTTCTAAACATAAACACGCGCACACATATATTTATATATACTCATTTAAGTGTTTTTTATATACACATACATTTTACACGCTCGTGTGTTCGTAAATGTGTCTGGGTGATGGCTCGCAATTAGCCGACGTGCGCAAACATAATTATCGTAATCACATATATGATCTTGAGTCTTATTTGAGTTTTATTCAAACTAAAGCAAGTAAACATAGAGTTGTTACATAAACACACCATACACTCATATATATATATATATATATATATATATATATATATATATATATATATATATATATTTATTTATTTTTGTTGAGGAATATATGTACGAAGTTAGGGAGATCAGGTACAACCGACTAACAGATACGTGGAACATATAAATACCGCCTGTAACTAATTATACACTTTATATTAATATATATATATATATATATATATATATATATGTGTGTGTGTGTGTGTGTGTGTGCGCGCGTGCCTGTATGCATAAGAGCTTCCTTGGGTATATAGACAACAAACAACAACACACGTTTAGACGACATTTTCCCCGAGATCGGGGGTTGCCGTTTGGCTACCTATGATGAAACCGAAATACCCCTCGACGCCATCCACATCTGTCACTCACCTCAGTATTAAGCAACCCCGCTTTCACCCTGTCCTTCTCCACCTGCTCTCTCCATCCCAATCGCGGACGACCCCTTCCTACCACTCCTTCAACCTCGAACTCCAACGCTCGCCTAATCCCGACCCTTTCATCCCTTCTCGACACATGCCCATACCACCGCAATCTCGATCTCCTTATCAATGTCACAATGTCCTCATTCAGTCCCATCATCGACATCAGCTCTGTACTACTCCTCCTATCCTTCACTTTAACCCCACACATCATCCTCACCATAGCTCTTTCAGCCCTCTGCAGTACACTTTCTTCCTCTCTCCTCAACACCCAAGTTTCACCACCATATACCATCACTGCTCTCACACATGCTTTATATACCCTCCCTTTCATCTTCACTGACCATTTCTTTCCACACAATACCCCACCCAGTTCTCTAAATTTCATCCATCCCACACGAACTCTAGCCGTAACTGCGCTCAAACATCCTCCATCCGCGTTCAACTTATCCCCTAAGTAAACAAAGCTTTCCACTCTTTCAATTCCACCACTCAACCCCGTCCTTGCGTCCGTCCTATTAATCACACCATGAACACATTTCTTACATTTGAACGTGCCTTCCACCTTTTTCAGTGCCCCCCCTCATACCACTACATCTCTTATGCACCCATTTCTGACATCCTATACACAATACCGAGTTAGCCTTCACTCTCCTGTCACATACCCCACAGGGGTCTATTTTACTTATCACTCGCTCCCCACCTTCCCCACTCACCATTACCTTCGTCTTACCAATATTAACTTTTAACCCTTTCTTTTCAATAACACTTTTCCATCTGTCAAATTTTAACTGCAATTCTTCCATGCTATCAGCCATCAAGACTAAATCATCTGCATACAAAATCTCAAATAACAACCCCTCCATTATGTTTCCACACACAACATCCATCACAATTGCAAACACTGATCCTTGATGCACTCCTACCTTAACACTAAAAGCGTCCGACATCCCCCTTCCAACCCTCACCTTTGTCTTTGTCCCTTCATACAGCTGCATCACAGCTTTAACAAGTCTCTCATTCACTCCTTTCTTCCTTCCTTGGGTATATAGGTAAGAATAAAATAAAGTAAACCATTAGACGCTTCACAGAGGAATATCGGGAGCGTGCAACAAGTCACTTGGTTGGTCGACAATAACAAATTGCCCTGATCAACCATTCAAATAATTTTTCATTACCATTACCTCAAAGCTTTGAAAAGTGAAAAAGCAAGGAAATATATATCATTTTGACTGCATAAAAAACGTTATAACCTTCTTAAGGATAAATAAATATGCCTTCAAATAACATAACATAACAAAGATTTTTATAGTGCTCCAAGAAGACTGAGTCTATGACAGGACCACTCAGAAACTTCAATATCCTCTTTTTGCCAAGTGTGCTTTGAAGTTATTAGTTGTTTCTGCGCATATTATTTCATCTTCCTGTTTATTCCGCTCACTGACAACTCTACAGCTGAAAAATTTGGCTTTATCGTTCCAGAGCTTTTTTGGATATCGTATAAATACGCCCACTTGTTCTACTGTATATCTTTAGCTCAAAAAATTTACTGATTCCAAATTCTCTTTCATAGTCCTAAATCTCGCTTGATAATTTTGATGATGTGTATATGATCTTTTTCAGAATGGTTCGATTAGTGTATGGTCATCATTAGCATAAGATAATATTAAAAGAACATTCATTCTATATATATATATATATATATATATATATGTGTGTATGTATGGTTAATTTAAATATGGTCATCATTAGCATTTGATATTATTAAGAAACATCCATTGTGTGTGTGTATATATATATATATATATATATATATATATATATATATATATATATATATATACAAATGCATGAATTTGAACATATAATATACGCTTCGCTTGACATACGCATCGCACACAATCACGTAAGTTCATATTCAGGCTTATAGTTGCAATTGGTAATCATTTTAAAATATTCTGATTTATTTAATTCTCGAACGCCAAAAACAACCAAAATATCAACTGCATAAACATAAATACATTATTTCATATCTAACAACTTTCACGTTTAATAAAACTTTCTTGCATTAATTATTTACTTAATCATTTCGTCCATAAAAATAACAAATAAATCTGAGCCCTAGTGAACATTTGAAATCAAAAACTTTACCGCCGACTGAGTATCGTAGCTTTATGAAATTCTTTAAAGTTCCAAATTCATAGAAAGACTTGTTTACAGAAACCTTAAATAATCAGGAAGTATATGAAATCAAATATCTCTGGCGCAAACCAAAGTTAAAGAGTCTCGTTTTGTGGAAAGAAATGTTAGGACAAATAAGAATGCAGAACAGTAAGCTCAAGCAGAGCGAAAAGCGACCTAGCAGCTCAGTCAAACGCACACGTACCATTATTCAAATGCAAATAGGCCAGCGTGCTTACACTTACATTACTCATAAGGAAGACACGAATATTCATGCTTAAAAAACAAATTCCATTAACGACGTAAGTTAACATTCGCTAACCACTTATTGGTTTAAGCGTAAAAATGGTTCAATAAAAAAGATGGCTGTATTAGATAATAAACTATGGAGAGTAATCTGAAAAAAATTTAGACCAAACATCCAACTTATTCATAATTAAAGTCCAAACATTTGAAACATTACCAATATTTGATATTACATCCATTCAGGCTTCACATCTTAACATGACTATGGCGCTCCCATCGATGGGAGCGCCATAGTCGATGATGAGCCTTATTGGCTCATCAACATTGTTAAAAACTAATAAAAGCAAAATCGTTTCAAATATTCAAACATTTATTTGAAGAGAGCTGTTGCGTAAGTTTTGAAAATAAACAGTTTTTTATGGTTTCTTACAAGATGTAAACATATTCCTTACATGATTACATAAAAGAAAAGATAAATGTACTACTCACGCACACACATACGCGCACACACCCATACACACACAAACACATATAATATTCGTGCTACACATAGCACGAAAGTATTTTCATATGGTTAAAAGATTAAATTAAACACAATGTATAAACAAAAATGAATATAAATGAATTTTTGTGGTTGGATAACAAAAATAACAATATATGAGGAAATAAATAAATTGAAATTATTAAATCTTTTAACAAAATAACAGACAAAATTTTATCGCTATCAAAAATTATTTTCACAATCTAAATTAAAAAACTAATGTCGATTAAGAACATCATGAATTTAGCAGGAGAACAGTTTTGGAATAACGAATGATTGAAACATTAACATAACCTATACAGAAAGCTCAATGGAAAGAATTTTTTAAAAATGTAATCAAAAGATAGAACAGCATTTGATTTTCACTTTGGTTAAGTTTCAAATGTGAATGACTGTAAACCGAATAATGTAATAATAATAATTACTACTCTTGAAAACCATAATGGTACACACGACCTACATGTCTAAGATTGTTTAAAATTAGCCGAAAAATAATAATAGCTGTGAGTGAAGTTGGTTATTCTTTGACAAACCAATTACAATAAGATACATAAACAACAACAAAAAACAAACACACGATTAAAAATAACAACTATATGAGGAATCAATGAGTGAAGATGTGTGGTCAAATTTATATCAAATCTCTCACAATATCTTTGGTTAACAACTTGCGTCATCAGTGTCACTCACAACAATGTCATAACATTACAAGAGAGCCTAGATGAACAAAGTATCAGCAACATACGACACACGACATATGATCATAATGATGGTACAATCGAAATATTTAACAAAACGAAGTATGCAATAAAAATGTACATGATATTGTAGACAGAATCATGATGCAGAGCGGGACAATGACGCAACAGGAACTATGTTAAAATTGAGTTTCGAGGAGTTCGGTCAACCTTTTAGCAACTCCATCCCTACTTGCTCGTATGGTCAGCCGGTACATCTGATTGTTGTTGATGTTTGTTACAGTAGAACATCAATGAACAAAAAACTTTTCAATAAAAATTTATTATGATAACGATAATACTGAGTCGTTTATATAAGACTGCACGTTTTAAATCAGTCAGGCAAAAGAATATAGGTTCAGGGAAGGGGAGGGAGGCGGCCTAATTGTAATCCATATTTTATTTTACATCTTCTATTTTGAGACATCCAATCGCTATAACACTGAAGCATTGTTGCATGGAGACTTGACATTTTTGTAAATGAATAATTATTAAACCTCAAATGCTTTATTATTAATAATAATTGGGTACCTACAAAAAAAGGTTTTCACTAACTTAACAAATTTTGTAAACCTCGGTGTGCGAAATTTATGCCCCAATTGCATATTTATATTCATAAAGTGCAAATTAATGGCAATATAGATGCTTTATAGCATATTATTAACATAATTTAAAAATGCAAAGTTCTGGCGAGGTCAGCTAATAAATGAAAACATGCAACAGAAAATCCTACCTGGACTTGTTTGTTTGGTTCCAATCTAAGGAGGCAGCCAATTTGCTGGGCGACAGTGTGAATGATGCCTGCACCAACAAAGTTCTCAACATTCGGATCCACATTCGACAGTGTGCTGAATCCAAATCCGCTCAACTGAGTATCAATCATTATAGCCAATGTTACAATGAAGGCACAAACAAACATACACACACAGAGACAAACACACACACACAGACATAATTGACAATAATACATAAATTTTTTAACGAATTTAAATCAATTGAAAATAAACAGCACATATAAAATTGTGACTAAAATATAACCGGCTTGAAATTAATAATATAAACTTTCAGGTAAGTTACTGCCTAATTAAACAAACGTATGACGGGAAACAAAAACTAACCACAAATGAGCCAAGATAACTTAAGAGCTTAAATGAAATATAACTTAAGAGCTTGACTGAAATATATTTCAGATAGCAAATGAAAAGTACCTTCGTTTTCAAGTTTTCAGCATCTAATGGCGCACTAGCTTTTTTGATCACTTGTGATTCTTGGTAAGGTCTGAAAATTAAAAAAGCCAGTTGATTAGTAAGAAAACGAATCAAAATGTTATTCTAGGCGATATCTAAACAACGTAGCAACAATATAAATTTTAAAATTGTGTGAAGAAAAAATGAGCAGCAGCAGAAAGAGGAAACTTACTGTCCGAGAACCTTCCACCTCTGAAAGAACTGCGTGGCATCCATCTGCGTTCCTTCCATGAACTTGTTCAGCGTCAGTGGTAGTTTCATCTGAAATTTCTGTGGTACACTGCTGTATCTACAAAAGGTTATTCAAAAAATGTGAAATTCATATTGTAAGTTGTATATAAGTATCATGTGTATTGTATATACACACACTATTGTACTTTTAAATCAATAACACAAATAACAATAATAATCAACCGTATATTCAATGAAAGAGAAAATAAGAGGGATGCCAATAGCGATTGTAAGGAAATCACCTTTCCTAAACAGAGTTTTCCTCAAAATTATTTCATCAGGCACTCAAGTAGGGTGCATATTCAGCATGCTCAATGTTTTTTACCTTCCATCAAATATCCACCTTAACCTTTTCGTTTAGTCAGGACAACAACAACACCAACCTTTTTTTAAGAACTTTTTTCTTTTTCTTCCTTTCCAGGTGACGCCACCCACAACTTACTTAATAAGCCAGTGCCAAGAAAATAACAAAACTTTCATATTGTTCAGTTAAATTTGAAACTACAAGTATAAAACAAAAAAGTCAAGCAATGAAAAACAATTTAAAAATTTGATTGAAAGAAATGGAAGCCAAACAAAATAAACAGAGGCTTACTGGAAGTAGAGCGTCATTGAAGGAACGACTGTGAAGTCGGACATGCACTGAACATTTATCATCTGCTGCTTCTGCGATCCAGCTGTGTGTAGTTATTATTTCAATGAAACGCTACTTCATTTTTATGAACGAAACCAATGAACTATTATGATATGAAAAGTTATTGAAACGGATTATTTAAAATAAAATTTCAGGTCATTTCCCATTTTTGAGTGTTGCAAATGAAATGTAGTACCTTCAATGGTATCGTCCAAAGCCAGAGCTTGCAATTGAACCTGTGAACTTCAGTTAAGGAAAATGAACGCTAAAATACATCTTAAACTGGATTATGTAAACAAATTGCAAATAAAAACAAAAAGATTAAGATAAGAACAGCTCAGTGGAGATTTTATTGTAACAGATAACACGTTATAGTGAGTTGTTATAAAAAGCAAATAAAATTTTACATATAAATCATAAAAAGCTTAAAAAAGATTGCCTAAACCAAGAAATAAAAGAACAAAATATTCATATAGTTCAATGAATTATGTTGCAAGATGAATATGACGAAAGGATATGAGAAGACAACTGATCCACGTTATCCAGCTCAATGGCAACACCAGTGAAGGTGAATGAAGTTTTGTTGCCATAGAACAAGCAGAGCCTGCCAAGGTTCTGTCTGTATTCGCACTTGATGCCAATCTGGATCAAATCATTCTCAAAAACCACCCCATTATTCTTACAGATGAATCTGTGCGAAATTAAGTGTCGAAACCAGTGAATTGAAAAAGAAAAAAGCAATAAAAACAAATGAAATTAAAATAAACAGAGATGTTCATAGTTTAATGAAAATGACACACAACTCTTCACATCTATTTATGATTCAATCTTTCCACAGGCACGAAATTGCAAAACCTAAAAACAGTTTTAAATAGTGTGTTTAAAATAAGAAATAACTTGTTGAAATTATCTTCTGGATTGATGCTGCCCGTGAACAGATCCACACCACCTCCAACATTGTTTGAAGTTGGAACTCCTCCATCACTTTTTCCAGCAACATCTCCACCGAGAACATCAATCAACATGCCAGAATATGACGATGTTTGATTGTTGGATGGTGATGTCGACAGGCCCAGCAAATCTGTTGTCGCTGCCACTTTGTTCGTTTCTCTATGTGGAGGTGAGCTGGTCTGAGCCTGTGAAGAATATATTAACAATATCAAACTCATTATTATTACTCAAATTACTAAGACAACATGAAGTATTTTCATACGGTGACTTGGTTGTTACAAATGTCATCAACAAATGAGATAACAACATTAAGATTACTGACAGGTTCAGTGTGTTTGACAGTATCTCCGGCATTTTGAGGATGGGAGGATGGACTGGCAGAGGATGCAGTGAGGCCAGCAAGAGGCAGTTTGTCATTTGTTGCTGCCTTTTCAGGTCGCTTCTTCTTCAACTTGGCTAGTATGGATGACTCACGTTCTTGGAACGGCGGCATCTCTTCTAGAACTGTGGCCTATATTTTCATTAGGCGTTCATGTCTAACTAAACTCATTTACTGTACCGTGACAGTATGAAATACATTGCAATTAGTTGTACACGTAGTTCGTCTAAATAGAAACAATTCATCATCAAATCAGCCATAAAAATTTATAAAAAGAACAAAATTTCAAATTGCAGTTTAACAATAAATTAAGAGGGAATATACCAGAACGTCAGGACTTGCAATGTTACTCAACTGTAGGTATTCGACCGACCGCTGCTGGATCTCAACGTCTGCATTCCTCATGTTGCTCTCGTTCTTCAATACCTATATAGTTACATTCGCAGATAGTTAACAAGCTTTAATAATTGTTAAAATATTTGAAAATGATGAAAATAATTTTGTTTTTTAACGTAGTCTAAATATATCATTAAAATATCAAGCATTCTTTCTAGCTACATAACTAACTTCTTGTATTTGTGGCTTGATTTCACTGAACAAATTGATGAACTTGATGTATGTTGACAAGAGTAGCTGCCTCGTGGGCACGCTGCAAAGGTGGAACTTTGAATGCAACAAATTGAACTGGATCAACGGACTGCAGAACAAACATATATTTCTTATTATTCAAAAGTATTAAAATATCGACTATGCAGTTTTCATATTACTTTAAAGCTGGCGAAATTGCACCAAAATTTTATTAATTAGTATGTGCCAGCAAAATTATTCATTTAACATTACATATGGTGTAAATATTTTTTCCATGCCAATATTTAACAGTTGTATTGAGTCAATGTAGAAACAGCATCAGATTTTACGGAAATGGAATTGTGAACCTAGATCTTGGATCGCCAGCAATGAGGTTTCCAAACTCTCCCAATATGTATCCACCCACTTTGACCATGTTCTCGTGACACGACGGTGCCTGCAGTGCCTGTCCAAATAAGAAGGATAATGAATGAGGATTTAAGACTTATTACTAATTGACTTAACTATCCCTATTAAAAACTATTTTTATATTTTATGTTGAAGTTGGAGGCTTTAAACAAAAACAGATGTGCTGTGATATTATCACCGACAATGAGAAACAACAAGTGCAGTAAACATCTATCTGCACAATAATGTAACAAACAAAATTTTTTAATAAATTTCATTTGAATAATGACAGATTTCAAGATGCATTACCTCAAAAACTGTCTTGGCAGCATAACCCTGTACATCATCCCTGTTGACGACTATTTGTATGACACGGTACCAGACCTGAAAATATGGTACCACCGTCACGATCGTAATCTTCAGTTCCAGATAATAATATAGCCCCAGAAAATGTTAAATAACCAGCACGCGACCATCTCAAATTTAGTTCAATATTAAATCACTAAAACATTTTTAGTTGATCTGAAAGCTAGAGCTCAGATAGCCACATTAGACAGATTAAACTGAGTAATCTTGCTTGAATTAAATCATTCAGAAGAATAAAATGATCTCATATGGAAGCTCAAAACAAAATGACAACACGAGACAAATATTAATCATCAACCTCTTCACTGACATAGTCACCAGCTACTCTGATCAAGTTCAGAATGGTATCCACATACCATGTATAGTCCAACGCATACTTCTCAGCTAATATTGCAACTTTTAGTACCTAGATTTAAAAAAAAAAAATAAATTTTTAAAGTTTTAAACAGCATTTTTTATGACAATAAACATAATTATTGTATGGTATTGTATTATTTATAAAAATTTAATATAATGAATGGAAAGCGAATAAATGAAACCATCTCTTCTCTGATGGAGTAGTCAGCAGTCTCCAGGTAAGTGAGCATTTCTGAAACAATTTCTTGCACATTGGCTCGATCGCACATAGCATACAGGAGGTCAACGGCCCTCTGCCTCACACTCACATCTTTCTCTGTCTGTCAGTCAGTCATAATGTTCGGTGAAGGAGAATGCGAGCAAATAAATTAAACAAAACCAGAGCAAACATGCATCTTATAAAAAAATTGAGTAGAAACATATTACAAAATGTGAAATGTGTGGTAAAGCCGTCCGTGTAAGCATACTTTGAGTGAATTGATGACAGTTTCTTGGTGCTTCTTTACTGCATCATGTGAGAACTCGGATGTGGCCAACAGACACATACTCTCCAGTGCTAAATATCTTTGGGGATTCAAATATTGAATAAATTGTTAAATAAATCTAAAAATTAAAAGAATACATCATTCTAAAGTTTGTAAATTTATGAAAATAATTGTTAACATATAACTAACTGCTATGTAACAAAAAATATGAATAATATTTTTAACTAGCACTTGCATTCAACTGTCAACAAAGTGGATGCAGATAAACATTAGGACATCAAGCTGAATACATAAAAACTGCCAAATACAACTGATGCAATGCAATAAAAAATGAATGGTAGTTACCTGAGATTGGTTTCTCTGTGTTGCAGAAACTGCCCCAGCTGGTTGCATGCCCTGACCAGCAAGCTGGCATCACAGTCCATGTGAATAATTAAATTTATGGCCTCGAACAAGATGGCATTCTTGGCATTCGAATGTTGAACTTTTTTAGATTTTGGAGCTTCCTGGGCCTTGTTCAGAATCATTTCTATGCATTCAGTCAGCCTGTTCTTGACTCCAGGATCTTCTATTATGACTGAATGTAATGAATTCGTTAAATGATAAGTCCCTACTAAATAAAACTATTTGAAGAACATCGAAAATCGATGTGTAGAGGCATCATTCATCTTATCCAACGTTTTAACTAAATTCTTCATTAGACTCAATTTGATTTGTAGTGGTGGCAATATGAATGTCATTTAGAGAATTAACGACACATGTAAAATAATTTTTGACCAGCTTCCATGCAAAGCCTAATGGGCTTAAAATCTTTTCTAAAGAGTGTGTGAATCTCCATCCAGACTATTCCATTCCAATATAAATAAATTGGAGGTAATAAATGGCATTGTTTTAATCGCCGCCCTAAAAGCCACGACTGCATATTTTTTTTAAAAATGTCATGAGCGTTTTTATTTGGAACACAATGTGATTAGAGCAAAACGGTTTTCAGATTTGAAATCAGCATAAAAAATTGTATGGAAACATTTGATGTGTTATGGGAAAAAAGATCATGTACATCAGTGCAATTCGTCCAGAAGAAATCAGAGGTTTGATAACAGATGAATTATATAAAACTTTTCATTAGCAGAAACATAACAAATGACAAAATATCAGAAGCATTACAGAATAACAATCATCATAATCATCGTCATCATCATCATCAGGCATAAGATGACAAGCAAATGAAACCAGACCAGAGGGTGGATAGTTTTGCAGGAGATGTAGCAGTTTGACAGACAGCCACGGGGCAGGTACGAAGTAGTAGGTATAATCCTGCAGGTCTGTGTACGAAGAGGTTACTATCTGCAGTGGCCGATTAGATTGCATTTATTTTCATCAAGTTTATCAATGGCTGGGTAGGTATACTTGCATAATAATAAACTGACAACAATAATTTTAAAAAGACTGTGTACAAAAAAATGGAATCTTGAATGAGAATCAAAGAATGAAAACCAACTCTGCTGAGTCTAGATATAGCCAGTGTAACACATCCTTTATAATCTTCTGGATTTCTTTTTGCTAAACATTCCAACAAGCTCATAGCAGCGGTCACAACACCCTGCCAAATGAATATAAAAAAATATAACAACTAGCAGTGAACTAGGCAATCAACATTGTTATAGTTTTTAAGCAAGGAGATTAACCACTTATTAAAAACAAGGGCAGAAAATGTGAACAACAAAGATGCACTTCAATATTAACCTGGTTTTAAATAATTAAACATGGTAGTATCTAATAATAAAATTCCATTAAATAACCTTAGAAGATTTAACATTGTTGAAATTAAAATGCAAACAGAATATCAAGAAAAAGAATCCAGAATTAATTTATCATTATGTTAAAGACTAACAGAGTGAAATAAATATTAACTAATCAGATACAGACAGGTATCGTAATATCTCGGTCTGAAGAATCATGAACTGCCACTTTGCATGCCCCATTATTTGGTTTTGTTATATAGCAGGTATTATAAAGTTTGTTTATTAATAGCAGGGTTTTTTGAACACCATCAACACTGCATTCACATTGGAAAAACCACATGGTTACTGTAACTTGAGATTTAGTTGTTTATTCTTTATTATTGAAAATTCTTACGACTTTTTTCAAAAAAATTCTTTATTTCTGTCTAAAACCTTAATTAAATTGTTTCCGCACTGACCATTTTTTTCTTTAGATCAACAAACATTACAACAAAAATCAAATGGGAGAATAACAAAAAGAATTTAAAAAACAAACAACCAGACAGACATCAACTAATTGAAACAGACCATATGTTGATCGTTGAGTAAGTGAATGATCCTGGATGACCACTCGTACATTTGAATGGCATCAGGAGAATTCCTAATGAGACGCAGCAAGCACAGTGCTGCACTTTGCTTCACTGAATCTATAGTGTCCCTGTGATGACATTTAACATCGGTAAAATTTTACATCTGTTAAATTAATGTAATGATAACGATAGAAAATTTTATTTATCACTATTCCTATGGTGTTCGACATCTGCCTAATAAACTTTTCAAACAGGTAAGTCTAGAGACTACTTCTGAACCTCAAAAATGAGTAGTAAAGAGTAGAAAAAACGTTACTTAGTTACTTAAAAAAACCATGTTTATTAAAAAATCAAATAAAGAGGTACCCTGAAACAAGTAATTTTGGAATGTCATGTCCGAAGGCATCAGCCATTTCTTTGTTTCCAATATTAGCAATGCACTGAAGAGCTAATGTGATGTGGATAGGATTTCTTCCAGTCAGATCGTTCTTGATTGATTGGATGACCAACTTCATGAGGTCGCTACTGGCGCTTACCAACACAGATATAAACAAGTATCCCTAAAAAATATTCGTAACAGTTCACAACAACTGAACTGTAAAGTTCTAATAATAAAATATCAATTAAAAGCAATGAAAAAAAGAGTAGAAAGTTTTGATATAAATTTTGTAAACAGGTGAATAATGAAAAACTATTCTTAAACTATAAAGTTTAGAAAAAATAAACAGAATGAAAAAAACGTACAATTTGTTTTTCTGTGTATTTGTTTGAACTGAGCAGGTTGACAGCTTCCATGTGTCCAAAATCAATATCATGACCCAGCAAGAAAATAAACACCAATTTACAGACATATTTCTTTTTTTGATACCCATCCAATGTTTTATCACCTTAAAATTTGTTTTTTTGCCAAAACTTTGAAAAAAGAAATTTTGGAAAAATAAAAATTGTCACCTTTGAATTTTGATCTAATATTTGCTAGTTCTTTGTTAATTCTTTTCTCTTCAGCTTCTTTACTTTTACCTAAATTAAAATTTCATAAAGTAATTAGGTAGACCATTGAACAAACATTTTTTCGCATAACCTATTTTAAATGTTTGCACAATGAGATCATGAATAAGAAACAATTATATTATATTATATTCGTATTACAAATACATTTAAAAAATATATATAACTGCAGATATTACAAATATTAATTATGTCAAAAATTTGTTTTTGAAAAAAAATTAAAATTTAGTGATACATGAGTGGCCTCCTAAATTTACTATAATAACAAAATATAAAAAGTTCTTATTGGAAAATAATTAAATTATTTATCAACACACGCATTTAAAACAGGAATTGAGCAATGACATTCAAGCTTAATATTGACCAGGGAACATTTGAATCATCATATAATCAGCCATGATTGGTATTATATATATTGATCATTGCCTGGAAATTTACTCTTGCTTACAAGTGTACTTAAATTTCAGAATAAAAAATTGAAAAAAATTAAAATTCTTCATTTATAATACATATGACATAGCTCTTAGTATCACAGCAGCTAACATCACTTTTCAATTATAGCCAAACTTTTGTGCCACAAAGGTTGAACATCCACACTGCACAATGTATATAATGTGGATGTTCAAACTTATTTACATGTATATATATATATATTATTTATATTTATTTATTTAAAAGAACTGAGAGGCCAGAAGTTATTACTAACTTGTACAGACTCCGTAAGTACATAAAATGATATAAATATATATACCTAGACAAAATATACATACATAAATACCATATGATCATGGAGGATAAATAGCAGAATACAGAAATGTTTATCAGTGACATAATAAAATGAAAAATTAATGAAGAAGAATAATAATTTAAAAAAAATGAAAACAAATGTTAACAGAATATGATATTAAGTGGGAGATAATTCAATTGAAGCAAAGACAGTGAAAATGAGAGATGGAATACACATTAAATTAAAGATTGGATGTAGGAAGATAAGAGTAAAATACTGAAAGTAAAAAAAAGAAAAGTGGTTTCTGTGTATGTCAGATCCTGATTTTTAAAGAATAATAATAAAAAAAAACAAAAACAAATGTTAACAGAATATGATATTAAATGGGAGATAATTCAATTAAAGCAAAAACAGTAATGGGAATGATGAAAATGAAATGATTAGAATGGAAATAATACATACATAGGTGTCTAAAAAGTAAAGAAAGAAAGGACATATAATAATTATATATACATATGCACATGCATGCATGCAGATAGATTTAAAATAAATGACAATATATATGCAAATACATTTAGCTGAAAATTGGCAAAAGTAATAAAATTGTAGAAATTAAAAACACATTTAGACAAAAAATGATAGAGAGAGAGTAGTTAGTCAAAAAAGTTATGCTGAATAACTTAAGAATGCTGGATTTTAAAAAAAGTTTTGGCACTAATAGACCTAGTGGTTGTAGGTAGTTTATTCCATAACTTCATCATATTGATTAAGGAACTTAATATAATAAGAATTAGTTCTAGGAGTAGGAATGTAAAAGTGAGAAGTGTATATATATATATATATATATATATATATATATATATATATATACATGTTTTTTGCATGCACACATGACATACATTATTCAAACTAGATAAACTAGATAACATAATAACTTAATTTTAATAACACAATGTAAGAATGGTTCATTAGCCATTTGAGATAACTTGCCCTACCACTGCTATAGAATGTATCCTGACCTTGAGTTATTTAATAGGAATTTAAAAAAATGAATCCACACTATGAATGCTGTGCATTGCAATTGACAATATTAAAAAAGAACAGAAGGGGAAAGGGAACGCTGCACATTGATATGATCTCAGTTCAATTTCAGTTTTAAAAAAACGATATCTTTGAAAAAGAAATTTGTCATCTATAGTTATAGTACATTTTCTCAAATTTGAAGTAAGTATTGATTAATTACCCCTAACTTATTTGCAGTAATCTTCTTAGTAGCAATGCAGGTTACAAAAATAATATTAGAAACTTCATCACTAACAGTTTCGAATGTCTGAGATGAAAACTGCAAGACCTCTCATGCCATCCCCCTTCACGGCTGGCATTGTTGATAATTGGACGAGGTTCCGTTACTTGCGGACGCTCAAACGCAAAACCGAAAAGGAAATTTGACAACTGCAACTTTGGTTTTAAATTTTCTAGTTTTTTAAAGTTTAAAATTTTCTGTTAGAATTCCTCTTGAAACGGCTTTATATAAAAATTATTGAACTTACAAATTGTATTAAAATCAGATCACATAAATAAACGTCACATATAACAGGACACGGCAGAAATACAACTACGTATCCTCAAAATGTCCACAAACGCGTATTGTCGGCAAACTCCGTTCCAGCAACCAACTCAAATGGCAACCATTATTTTCATTTTAGGACACTCCCACCAGTCACGTGCCAGGATGGTGGAATAAACATTCCTGCTTGTCTATTTTTCAGTTAATACATATTTAATGTTAGTTTTTTATTTCATATTTTTTATTCTAAATAAATGATTTCATATAATTTTGTTTGTTTCGTTTTCTCTGAACACAAAAAAAGTAGAGTTAGAGCAATTACAGTAATGACAGTTCTAATGATAAATGTTGCTTATCAAACTGAACTATTCCAATGTTCAGACAGTCCTTTAATAGAAACCACCAAATAGAAAGTTTAAAAAAAAACACACAAAAAAATAAACACACGCACACTAGCTACAAATAGCTGGTAGGTCCAAATCATATGTATGTCCAAATCTATTTTTGTTGATAATCTTCATTCTATAACTCACACATACTCATGCCATTAACTCCATATTGCAACTACATCTTAATTGTTTGCATCATTGATGAATCAAAATGGTGTTGATCAAGGTGTGAATGGTTGGAAGCCATCATGTGTAATTTCTTTCATCCTGTTTGGAAAGCAGGATGACTGGACAGTGCATCGACAAAAGTAAATAACTACTGGTGAAAAAGTATGTAGATATAAAAAAGTTAATGTTACACGCACACACAAATATACGGTCAGGCACACGCACACAAACATACTTTATATATATATATAATTAATATATATATTGGATGAGTTTATATATTATATATTATGTATATATATATATATATATATATATATATATATATATATATATATATATATATATATATATTATTGATGAAAATCACAGCATGCTCGGCGTTAGTTAACTTCCTGTTTAACTTTTCGATTTTTCTAACGGTTGATCGTAAATCATTCTCAAGTTTCTTGAGTTCATAACCAAAATTTTTATATAAATTCTACCGAATGTTTGGCGTTAATATGTTTGTAGTTCGTTTTTTCGATTTTTCTCACTAAAGTTTTTTGGTGAACGTTTAGTTTATTAAAATTCAAAATAAACTTATTTTTCGAATTCATGCTGCAAATAAGGCCATATTTCGATTCCGAATGAATCATCGTCAGTGCTCCTTGTTGTATATATAGGGAAATATTGACTTTGTCAAGATTAACTTCGACGTTGTAAAAATTAACTTTGGTGTTGTAAAATTGAACTTTGATGCGAATTAGGTGTCAGGTTTCTTAATTGGCTGGTCATCTTTGGTCTCCTTTTCTTCATCGATAGCATCATATTCTTCTTTGTCACTATTTACGATGCTAGTTTTTATTACTTCTTTGTTTTTGTTGTTGGTTAAGCGCCGGGTTGGAAGTGAGGTTGTTATGGTTTGTTGTATATTTATTTTTGGTTTATTGATGTCGATTAGGACTGCTTCTGCAATTTTAAGATGCGTGTAGTTGCTGTCGAGGATTTCACGGCTAATTGTGATTGAGTGTGTCGAGTCCAAATGAGATTTGATAGCACCACTCTGTTTATGCATCGTAAGCCTTCTAGTTAGTGAGGTAGTAGTAATCCCGATATATGAGTCATGTTGACGTGCACAGCCGTCAAAGGGGCAATTAAATTCATATATTACGTGATTACGCTTTAACTCAGAGTTATCTCTAGGACTGCAGTTGTTTTTCAGTATTAGGTGAGACGTCTTTTTATTGTTGTAATAAATTCGGAGTTTAACTTTACTATTTGGGTTGGTTGGTGTGACATTTTTATTGATGATATGTTTAAGAATAGCTTCATCTACCTTGTATGCTGTTGACATGTGATTTCTGCAATACAAGATGATGTCGTTATCTTGATTGTTGGTACTAGGAAGGTTATGACATTTTTATTGATGATATGTTTAAGGAATAGCTTCATCTACCTTGTATGCTG